TTTTAAAACTTTTACTAAATACAATTGACTAATTTACATAAATTAGTATCATATGATTTTACAAACCAATTAGAGCATATTAAATCCCAAACCTTTATTTACATGCCAACTACCTCTATATACCAATTACATATATTTCTGATCTGAACTTTGTAAAGGAGATATGACTTGTCTAGCTCCACATTGCTCTCTATATTCTTTTCGAACCTACGTGTGAAACAATATAACAATTTCATTCAAAACCACACATCTTTTTATATAACAAATACACTCATGTACATATATCATCATCTACTTTCTTAGCATTATCATATATATTATTATCATTATTTATATCATTATCATCAAATTATTTATCACATGATCTTGTATTTATCATTTCTGCATATCATATAAAACATATATCATTTCACCTATAACACCCATAACATCATACAATTCATATAACGCATTTCGTATAATCAAAAACATATCCATCATATATATATATATATATATATATATAGTATTTGTTATGGTTTCTTTAGTAGCCCATGATACACTAGTGAGAACTAAAGATATTTGAGTGCATTGAGGTTGTGCACAAATGTTATCACCACAGCTCGTATAAATGCACCGAAGTGCCGCGTAGAATTGCACCGTAGTGCCACGTAGAATTGCACCGTAGTGCCATATAATAATGTCCATAAGGACCACATATCATTCCTTAAGAACCATATACATATGCCAAGGATCACATAGGTGTCTCAACAGACCCCATACATGTTCCAAAGAATACATATATGTCTCGAAGGACCGCGTAGACCCTCGACTCTTGGCATGCCAACTATACCCCTAGCTCTCATGACACATAACATGGGCATTATCATTTATTTCATTTCATATTCACACATTCATATTACTTATGTCTTATCGCATGTCTGATCTCTTATAATCATGTAATTACATAGCTCATGTCATTTCTTGTGAAATTACACATATCATGTAATACATATAACTCCTATACTTTCTCATATATTCACATAGGTAATATCATAGGACTTATATCTTTTCATATGGTTTATGTTCTATTCTCTTATATTCACATACATGTAATACATATCAAACATGTTTACATAAATCATTTCTATATAATTCACATGTACTTATATTCTTTTTCATATACTCACATAGTCATATAATATAATATTTCATATGACCTCATATATCACATCACTTATATACATATCCAAATATTCATAGATACATATCACTTAAATTATTCATATTTACATTATTTATGGTCATACAGTTCCTATCACAAGTCCCTTATCTTATATCTTCTTCTCATATGTTCATATTTATCATACAACACATAAGTTTTATTACATATTTATATCACATTCATATATCACTAATTCATAATATAATTTACATCGCATCATCTATCTTATTCTTTATTTCTTGGTATGCACTTATATTACATAACCTATATTATACTGATAAACATATATATTACTTCTATTATTTCTTTTATATACAAATTAATCAATTTACTTAATTCAATTTCATATAACTCCTATAATTTTCTCATATCACTCCATATTCAAGTTTCCTAATTGATACATTATTCTCATTTCATTCTATAACTCAATCTTATTTAGTTTCTTTCAATTCACATTAAATCATATAACGCTATTATATTAAATTCATAATTAATTATACCACTATGTACACTCATAATCCCATTATTCATATAACTTTTCCACATAATTACCTAGTTTCTATCGTTTCTCGTGGATTCACTTTCATCATATTCTTTTATTTTTACATATTTTATTTCATAATCCTATACTCCCTTTATCATATGATTTATGTAGGTTCTCTTATAACTCTTCATAAACATATATTTTCCATTCTATATATTACATAGATCTTATCATAGGACTTATTCTTTATACTTACATAAATTATAACACATACAATAACATATCAGCTCATATAATCAATCATACATACATTTCATGTCATTCGCCTACTTATAATCAACACTTCATGCATAATAAAACAACTATCAGAAATAGACTTATCACAAGTCCAATTTCCTTATAATCCTATAAAATAAGATGCACTCACCTGGGCCTCACTAAGTTAATACCGATCTCTCATATTTCCCTTGATCGATCTTATTTTCCAAATGTTCCGGAACTGATTTATGCTCGGTATCTACACAAATATACAATTTAAGGCAATCTATCAAAATCTAACCGTATAACTTGATACTAATAGCTTAAACGACTTTAAGAAATCAACATTTCCATTTTCCTTTAGGGGGTATCGATACCCTACTGGGGGTATCGATACCCTCATGACATTCTGGAATTCTTCTCGTTTGAGAGGGTATCGGTACCCCTTTGAATGGGTACCGATTCCCCCTAGCCCAGAAATCATTTTTGAGCTCAAAAATCCACTTGGTTCAATTCAAACGCTTCATCTTTCATCCCCTTTCATATTCCTAACTTACATATACATACTTAAACTCATTAATATTCATTTATCTCATCTTTAACCTCAAAATTCCATCTTTCTTATGGAAATCAATAATCATACCAAAGTTTCTATGTTATCCAAACTTAATTATAACACTTCTAACTTCTTATTCTTATAGATGACAAGTCAAATTCATCCTCCAAATTCGTTTAAACATTCTTATTCAAAATTTCACTTAAAACCCCATATTCTTTAATCTCTTCTAACATCTTCATCTTTGAGTTTTTACTTATCTTTAGACTTCCTTAAGCTTTCTTACTTTCCAAAGAATCAAAACCAACTTAGAATTCAAATAATAATCAACTAATAAAAATTCTCACCTTAGCTCTTGGCTTCCATGCGTGAAGAAGAAAGGAGAAGAAGAAAACTCTGGAAACTCATTTCCCCTCATTCCCACGTTTTTATATCCCTTAAAAGAGAAATAAAAATATTCTCTTAGAAAAGACCATAATACCCTTATTACTTTCAAACCTTACTATTAAATCCATCCTCAAAATTTTCCAATTAAAATTATGAACTTTTTAACTTATTTCGAAATTGAACACAATACTTTCAAAATTCACCTCTAAGTCACTAGCCCGATATTGAGGATGCTACATTTATAGTATTATGGTAAGGATTGATTTCAATTTTTCGATTTTTCTAACCATATAAGATAAATATATATATTCATATTATTTTCACATTATAATGTACTAAATAAAAAGAGTATATTTTTATTAAAAAATAGGAATTGAAGTTACATATGTATTATATAGTGGTATAGGAGCACGTGATTCAAATTTGGTAAAACATAGACTTAAAATGAAAGATGAATTGAAGAAATAAGAAATTATGAAAAGTTGAGAAACAAAATTGAAAAATTTAAAAATAGTATCAAAAAGAGGAAATGAAAGCACATAGGTATTCTATAATGGTTTAGAAACATTTGGTTCAAATTTGAAAAAAAAAGGACTTAAAATGAAGGAGTAATTGAAGGAATCAAGAAATCAATGACTAAATCGTAAAACTGTCAAAATAATCAATTAATTTTTTAGTAATTTAAAATCTCAAATTTCAACTTGGCTCAAACTCGAAAATAAATCAATAATTCAAATTGAATCAAATAAATTAACTAGAATAACTCAAAATTAAAAAAATAATCAATTTTTTGAGTCGAATCGAGTTTCGAGTTTTTGTTATTCTTAACTTATATCGTCTACTCTTGTTTTAAATTTTAAAATCAGTTTTAAAAATCGATTTCTAATCATAAATTTTTTAAAATTAATGAGAAGCTGGCCGTAAGCCAAGTTAGAGTACATGTGAAAGTAGTGAAGAGGTGCAGCAGAAGCAGTCATGTCAGATTTTGACCATTCTGACACAAATTCCACCAAAGACAAAATAGAAAATAGAAAATAAAAATAAAATTATTACTATTAAATATATAAACGTTTCTACCACCAATGAAAATTGAGAGTAGTGAACAGTGAGGCCAAATATTTAAATTTATTTTATTGTTGTTTTTGAAATTTGAATGCTTGTGTTTTTCAACTGCGGTTCTCCTCCACTGATCAGTGGCCGCTGCCACCTTTCATCTTAATCAGATTATAATGGTTCAAATTCGGGGACGTGGCAATGAGTCTTACGGTAAACGTTCTCAGAGGATACCGTCCTTTCAAATTGGAACACCAGTTCACGGCTACAAACATGGTAATCGTAAGCGCCATAACAGACCATCCATAAACAATCAAGCGGCATACGTAGGCAGATTCCTTTTTAGCCGTATTTGGATCATTTTTTTATTCTCTAAAAAGTAAAAACAATAAACTTTAAATAATTTAAATATATTTGACATTTCAACTAAATTGATACTTAGAAAAATTGTATTCTCAATTAATATTTAAATTGGACAATTTCTTATAAGGTAATATCTAAATAAAATTTTATCTTAAATTAATATACGAACTAAATTTATAACTTTAAAATTTCAATAAAGTTTAATATACGAATTTATAACTTTTATTGAATCTAAATTTGTGTGGATTTAATTAATTTAAAATTTAAATTTAAATTATTTATATATTTAGATATATAATAATTTAATTCTGATCTTGATAGTAATAATCAGATAATTTATAAACAGAAAAATATATTCAACATTTTAAATAAATTTATAAAATTTGATTTAAATAATTAAAAATTACAAATGTCACACAAAACAGAAAAAAAAAAGTTACCATTTACCAGCTACATTCAGAAAGGAACGTGGAGACCGTCAAGGTTCAACCAAGGTCTCCTCTATCTCAAAAAAATAACCTGCAAACTCAGTCTATTGTTCTCTTCACTACTTTAAAAAGGCCAATAAATCCAACGATTCACACTCTTTATCTTCTCCTTCATCTCTTTCCCTTCCATTTTTAATTTTTTATGTAGTTTTTAAACTCACTTTTTAAGCATTACCCCTTTCTCTATTGAAGCAAAAGAATGGTCATCACTGCATCCTTGTCTCTTCTCTTTGTCCTACAAAGACTGACATGAGAGAACTGAGAAACCAAAAAGGGTATTTGAAAAAAAAAAAACAAAGCCATTTTCTTCTAGGCTGAAACTCTGAGAAACTGAAACCCCAAAAGTACAGGCTTCCATTATGTTCAACCTTTGTCTCTTGTTTTTCTTCATCCTCTTCACAATCCAATGTTGTTTCAGTGAGAAGACTGAGCTGAAAGCATTAATGGATGTCAAAGCTGCTTTAGACCCAGATGATAAATATCTATCTTCATGGACTTTCAAAGGCGAACCTTGTGATGGTTCCTTCGAAGGCCTAGCGTGCAACGACGAAGGCCAAGTCGCCAACATTTCTTTGCAAGGCAAAGGGTTGTCCGGCAAACTCTCGCCGGCGATTGCCGAGCTCAAGCACTTGACGGGGCTTTACATGCATTACAACGCTTTGTACGGTGAAATCCCTAGAGAAATAGCTAACTTGACTTTGCTCACTGATTTGTATTTGAATATGAATAATCTCTCCGGTGAGATTCCTCCTGAGATTTCTGATATGGGTAACTTACAAGGTCGGTTTACTGGTCTATTATGTTTTGTTTTTTCAATGTCTATAGCATGTTCTGAAACATATTTTCTTTTTGTTGCATGTTGTTCGTAGTGTTGCAGCTGTGTTATAACCGGTTGACAGGAAGCATACCCACAAAGCTGGGATCTTTGAAGAGGCTTAATGTTCTTGCTTTGCAGTCCAACCAGCTTACTGGTGCAATCCCAGCAAGTTTAGGGGATTTGGGTACTTTAATGAGGCTTGATTTGAGTTTCAATAGTCTCTTTGGTTCAATCCCCATGAAACTAGCTGATGCTCCTCTACTTGAAGTTCTGGACATTCGTAATAATTCGCTTTCTGGCAATGTTCCTCTAGGTAAATCATCTTTTGCTTTGTTCTTGTTTCATTTTTGTGTGGTTTTCAGTACACCATTTGATTTTGTTTTTCCCCTTTTGATCCAGCTCTCAAAAGACTAAATGATGGTTTCCTGTTTCAAAACAATTTCGGTTTATGCGGGTCGGGTTTTCCGTCGCTGAACCCCTGTAATGCCACCGGTGGAATTAATCCGAGCATACCCGAGGCGTATGGGGCGACTGGTCTTTCTAGGGAAATGCCAGAGACAACAAATCTGAGGTTATGTGAGAAAACTAAGTGCTCCAAACCGCCGAAATCTCGAAAGGGTCCTATTTTTGCTGGCCTATTTGTTGCCACGGTTGTATTATCGGCTACAGGGTTCTTCACATTTAAGCAATATCGTCACCGAAAAGCAAAGCTCGGTAAACTGATCAATGTTTCTGATAGCTGCCTTAGCACCGATCAAGCCAAGGGAGTTTACAGGAAGAATGGCTCACCACTTGCTAGCCTTGAGTATGCTAATGGTTGGGATCCTTTGGATGGCAGGAATTTCAATGGATTAACCCAAGATGCCCTTAAGAGCTTTAGGTTCAACTTAGAAGAGGTCGAGACAGCTACTCAGTACTTTTCGGAGGTAAATTTAGTTGGGAAGAGTAACTTTTACGCGACCTATAAAGGGTACTTGAGGGATGGATCCGCTGCTGTGATTAAAAGGATTAGCAAAATGAGTTGCAAATCGGATGATGCAGAGTTCTTGAAGGGATTGAATGTTTTGGCTTCGTTGAAGCACGATAATTTGGTGCAGTTGAGAGGTTTCTGTTGCTCCAAGGCCAGGGGAGAGTGCTTTCTTGTTTACGATTTCGTCCCCAACGGGAATTTGCTGAGCTATCTTGATGTGAAGGTTGGAGATGGCATGGTACTGGATTGGTCCACTAGAGTTTCCATTGTTAAAGGCATAGCCGAAGGTTGGTCTCTAGTTTTTGGCCTTAATCTATTGCAGGGTTAAAGTGTGATTCCTATTTGCTAAACTAGATTTGTTTGATTTTTTGTCTTTTTCTGGAACAGGGATAGCATACTTGCATGAGTACAGAGTGAACAAACCTGCCCTCGTTCACCAAAACATTTCGGCCGAAAATGTGCTCATCGATCAACGGTTCAATCCGCTTCTTTCGGATTCCGGCTTGAACAACATCCTTACCATCGACATCGTCTTCGGAGCACTCAAGGCCAGTGCTGCCATGGGTTACCTAGCTCCTGAATATGCTAATACTGGTCGTTTCACCGAGAAGAGTGACGTTTATGCATTCGGGGTAGTTGTTTTCCAAGTCCTCTCAGGGAAGCAAAAGATCACCAGCTTGGTACATTTAGGAGCCGAATCTTGTTGCAGGTTCCAAGACTTTATTGATCCTAACCTCCACGGTAGGTTCTTCGAATACGAAGCGGCTAAACTAGCGAGAATTGCGTTGCTTTGCACTCACGACTCTCCTATTGAAAGACCGTCTATGGAAGAAGTGGTCCAAGAACTTGGCAACTGTAGTAGCCGTCTCTAGTTTCATATGGTTCCACAAGGTTTTTAACGGTGATGGTGTTGTCACTAACTACTCGCTGGGGATGAATGGGACATGCTTTAAATTGTTGTGTCCTCTTGCCAGGACTATGCCTTAAGGATTCTGTGCATTGTTGTACCGTACTAATGGGATTTTCATGTGAATTCGACATCAGTTCTTTGGAAAATTGTATTCATTAGCAGTTGATTCGAGTCTGAATGCATGCATTTCTATGGTACATTGATTCTTTTACAGTGCAGGAATGGAGAATGAAAACATTTCTATTTGTAGATATGCTTTAGGTCCCATGGTCCCATGGGACATTTAAGGTGGATTTAATCCTTGGCACTAATGCCATGTCTCCCTAGAGAGGCAAAATCATAGTATCAAACATACGACGTTTGCCTGTCTGTCCTTAAATATGGGGGAATATCATGATACAGGATGAATAATTAAGCTTCTAAATGACGGCTTAACACTGCATTTCTCTTTGCTTTGATTGCCAGCTTTCTTGTAAGTTCATCTTCAGGCTCAAAGTGGGTTTGGTAGAAATAATCATTGGCGGCACTCTGATCCATCTTGGAACAAAATGTACACAGAAAACGTGCCTGGCTGAACGTAGCAAGGGCGAATACTAACTGTTCTGAGATCCGAATGAAACATTCTTTACTCGATTAAGATTTCGAGCAGGGTAACATTCTTTACTCGATTAAGCTTCCGGGCAAGGTGAGGGGTGTTACAAAACCTGCACAAATAACTTGTGAACCACTAAAGGCACCATTTCAAATGCAAGTAGTCCTAGTTTTTCTCCACAATACTTTCTGTACGAAAGTTTTCTTCTTACTAGGTACCTTTAAACTACATTTAGTGTATACCATACCCGTATTCGACATTCAACCTTCGGTCGGCCAAATTTAGCCATAAACTATGCCTATAAGAAAACTTTCATCTTTCTAGGCACCTTCAAACTCAAAATGTCTTAAAACTTACAAGACATTAAACATATCACACACGTACTAATACCCAACATTCAACCTTGAATCCCAATAACTAAACCGTATACGCTATGCTTAGTAAGAACTGTCGAACTTACTTGCTACAATAAAACTGTCATATTGTTGGGAACCTTCAAACTCCAAATGCCTTCCAATTCGGTCACATAAACTTAAACATAGTTTTGAGTTAATGGACATTCATACCAAAACGATATTCATATATCTTAAACTCTTTTGAAAACACTGGTGCAAAAGAAATCATAGTCTGGCAACAATGGCGATGACATAAATTATTTGAACTAGGTCTCGTATTCGAAAGCACAAAAGAACATGATTTAAGTCGTCAAAGATTACTCAGTTGAACAACAGTGAGTTTATTTGAAGCCATCCATTGTTTTCCTACAGCAAATACCTGTCCGTTTCCTTTTCTCTTAACTTCAACCAAAGTTTTCCTCTGTTTGCAGTAACCTTTGATTCTATCTCTACATGTTTCTACACAGTCATGATTTACAAATATCAATCAAACACCTTCAAATTTACTAAACACACACACACAAATTAAACAAAAATTCTTAACTTGAATCTTAGCTGTTCGATAATACGAAACGTTGAAATCGACTGAACTGATTATACGATTGGCAACCGAGAAAATGGCAACGCCTCCGAGCAGGTCGAGCAACGACGCTAAAGCTCCAACATGCCAATTTCCATCAACATCCTATAAATCAAAGAAATTGTCATAAATTTAATGGAAATAGAGAAAACCCAGAATTCTAGTAGAGACTTGAGAATGAAATTTCATACTGAGACACCATTTGGAACGACTAAATCAAATCGCATAAAACTCTTTTCAGCATGGACAACGCGCAGCCCTTCAAGGACCTGGTATCCAATCCATGACCTATTTTACCTTGTAGAACACCGTGAAGCCATGTCAGGGATGTTTGCAAGGTGCCCTGGTATCCAATCCATGACCTATTTTACCTTGTAGAACACCGTGAAGCCATGTCAGGGATGTTTGCAAGGAATCAGCTTCCATTTCTTTGAATTTTCTCTCCGATTCTGCAATTTCTAATTATCTTTTGCTCCTTTTGCAACGGGGTGTCGTAGGATTTTCGGAAAAGAACGAAAACGTAGGAAGAAAGGGACGACGAGGGAAGGTATGGGTGCTCGAGTTGACTGGAGAAAGAGACAGCGTCAGAACCGGCGCTGGCGATCCGTTAAGAGAAGTGATAGGTTTTTGTCTTTTTAGAAAATAAGAAAAGAAAGAAAGAAAAGGGGAAGCAATGATTTTGAAAAGGATAAAGAAAATATACGACTAGAAGACAAAAGAAGTCTGGTGTCCGGCGCGGGTCAACATATTGTCTGAGCCAACTTCCGGATAAATCACAATATAAGCCCTAAACTTATACACTTTTTCCATATTGATATCTAAACTTTTTAGGTATACATTAATATCAAAATTTATGTAAGCCAACTACAATATAAGGGATAGGTCACATTGTAGGTTCTAAATTTATCTATTTCGAGGATTTCATTTGATTTTCCGATGATAAAATACTATTTTTAAATTATAATAATAAGGAAGAGAAGAAAAAGATATGAATTGTATATTTTAATTCCACGTTGATCATTTTCATATAAATTATATATCAAAATGATTTGGGATTTCATGGATTTTGAATTAAATTTATGAATTTTAAAATGATTTTTAAAAATATTAAACTAATAAAGTGATATGAGACAATATATTTTTTAATATCTTTACTGGTCGAAGAAAGCATCGAAGAATAATGGTGTCAACGTGATACATAGATGTACTTTTAAGAGTTTCATCTTTGTGAGAAATAAAAAAAGAAAAAATAGCATGGCCGACATGTGAATTTTATATGAACAAAATACAGTAAACATTAGCATAAAATAAGACACAACACACTATTATTTTTTATTTAACATTTGAATGAAAAGAAAATACAATAACTCAAAAGTTTAATTTTTAAATTATTTTCTTTTAAAATTTAATGATCAAAATAAGAATACAGTCAAAGTCGAGTGATGAATATCATAGTTTACCTTAAATATAAAACTTGAATTTCACCGCAGGTAGAATGCATATAAAAGGACTGTATTCACACGTGGCGGTAAATAACAACCTCGTCTTTATTTGATATGTTTCAGTCTTTTACGATCAAGAGAACAAACAATGGGGAATACGTCTTGCGTATTTTGCACCTGTGCTGAACAGGCGAATATCGGCGTGGTGGAGCGATGTGGCCGTTTCCAGAAGTTGGCGGAGCCTGGTCTCCACATATTTAACCATTTCGCCTGTCAATATCTCGCCGGCATCCTTTCTACCAACACTAAGGTAAAATTACTTATTCTCAGGTAATACTATTACACGCATTATTCCTTCTACTCTATATGAATATGCCTAGCTAGCATAATTGAATTCGATTAATCATGAATCTGTGTTTGATCAGTTTTCGTGTTTTTGGTGAGATTCTACAATATCGTTAACAGTTTTATTTGCTGTAGGCGAAGAAAAATTAATAGATTTTACGTGTGTGGAAAGGATTTTTGAATTTCATGATTTTCTCTTTCTTTCTTCTTCATGTTTTTGGTTCGAAGGCATAGCCTAGACATTGGAGAATGGTAGGCAGTTGTTGTGATTCGAGCTCCAAATCTGTTGAACCTTGCCATTTAAGAGTGATTACATGAACAGAATGAGCTATGGCTTCGACTTTTATATGAACAGATTCCAGCTCCAAATCACTGGTTGCCATTTAAGAGTGATTATATTGTTGACTGAATTTTAATTTTCTGTTATTTGTGATTTTGTGTTTGTTTTAGAAGATTATGTAATCTTTGTTAGTTCAGATTTAGGAAATCATTTAGTTCCTATTTTTCTGATTGTTTGAGATATTTTTAGTCTCACTTTTCCTATAAAAGGTTGAACATGATGAAAAAACAGATCAAACTTTTCCTTCACTGTGTTCTGCTATTAAAGTGTTTATTCCTTCTATTATTCTTATATCAGTGGTATCGAGCCAGGTTAATGTCAACAGAAAATTTTGTCCAGTATGTAATTCCTCGTTTTGATGGTCACTATTACCATTGGAGCATGCTAATGGAGAACTTCTTGAGGTCTAAGGAGTATTGCATGTTGTTGAATCTGGAATAAAAGAACCAGAGGAAGGAGTTGCAATGACAATTACACGGAAGGAAGAACTAGAAGCATTGAAATTGAAGGATCTCAAAGCCAAAAACTATATATTTCAAGCCATTGATTGAACAACTTTGGAGACTATTCTTTGCAAAGATACATTCAAACAAATATGGGATTCAATGAATAAAAACATCAAGGGAATGCCAAGGCAAAGCGCGTGCAACTACAAGGCCTTCGAATTGAATTCAAAAATTTAAGGATGAAGCTAGCGAGTCAGTTACTGATTTCTTATCAAGAACGATGGTGATCGCCAACAATATGAGAATTCATGGAGAAAAAATGGAGGATATAACCATTATTGAGAAGCTCCTTAGATCAATGACATCAAAATTTAATTTTGTTGTATGTTCTATAGAAGAATCAAGAGATATCGATTCTCTTACACTTGATGAATTGCAAAGCTCTTTGCTGGTTCATAAACAAAAAATTGTCCACAAGACAAAGAGGAACAAGCGTTGAAGGCAATATCCAATCCAAAAGGTCTTGGAGGTGAGAAACCAAGGTGAAAGGACAAGAAGGAGCACTACAACACAAATGATGATTATTCTACTCATTCCAAAGAAAAAACAAAAGGTTGTGACAATAACTATTCAAATGGTTACAAGCAAAAGTCTGTAGACAAGTCAAATATTGAATGTTACAGATGTCACAGGTATGATCATTACAAATTAGATTGTAGAACTAATGTTAACAGAAATTGTGGTGCGAAATTAAATTTTGCAGAAAAAGAAAAGAAAGAATAAATTTCTCTCTTGATGGTATGTCATGTGAAGGAATAAATTCATCAAAATCTATAGTATTTAGGCACAGGCTGCAACAATCATATGTGTGGAGATAAGATGATGTTTTCTGAATTAGATGAAGCATTCTGAAGCACTGTTTCATTTGGAGACAATTCTAAAGTTTCTGTCTTGGGTAAAGGCAATGTGAAGATTCACACCAAGGAGAATACTACTGAGGTTATTTCCAATGTTTTCTTTGTTCTTGATTTGAAAACTAATATACTTAGTCAGTCAGCTTCAAGAGAAGGGATATGATATTTTTTTTATCGAAGATGAAGTTTTTCGTATTCAAGATGAAAGTTTGGGCTTAATTGCTTAAGTAAACATGACAACAAACCGAATGTTCCCGCTATATCTCAACAACGCTGCTTCATTATGTTTTTCAACAAGAATTAAAAATGAAGCATGGATGTACATTTTTGATACATACACCTAAATTTTAGTGGTCTAAAAATGCTACAACAGAAAAAACATGGTAAATGGTCTTTCTAAAATTGGAAGTCATTCTCAAGTTTGTGAAGAATGTGTTGTTGGCAAACATCATCGAGACCACTTTCTTGAAGGAAAGTCAAGGAGAGCGAAAAAGGTACTGGAACTGGTTCATTACAATATATGCGAGCCTATCAATCCGACATCAAATGGTGGTAAATGTTATTTTATAACATTTACTGAGGATTATAGTTGGAAAACTTGGGTATATTTTTTGTAGTACAAGTCTTAAGTTTTTTAGCTTTCAAAAGCTTTAAGGCGCTTGTTAAAAAGGAAGCAAGAATGCCTATTAGGGCTCTTCGTAGCGATCGTGGTAGAAAATACAACTCACAAGAATTTGTTAGTTTTTGTGAGGAGCATGGTGTTGAGAAATCAAGCTAAGTAACACAGGAAATAAAAAAGCAATAAAGCAAATAAAGAACACAAGATTTAATGTTGTTTGGCCATGTGCCTACGTCTTCGGGAGCGATGAGCGACTGTTTTCTTATTATTCACAAAACAATAACACAACTAGGTTACAATTACATAATATAAAAGCAACCCCGATACAATTACCAAAATAGCCCCGTACCGTATCGCCAACTTATACATGGAATATGAGCCATACCTAACACATGGAATTCAAAAGCATCTGTCATTCAACTAATATATGAGCCATACCTATCACATGGAATTCAAAACCAACTTACAACAGTCTACACCCTGCAGCAAAATGGTGTTTTAGAGAAGAAAAACCATACAATTTTAAACATAGTGCGAACCAGAGTATTCCAAAAAGTTTTTGGCCCGAAGCTATCAATTGGAGTATTCATGTGTTGAACAGAAGTCCTATCGTAACTGTTCAAAATATGATGCCTGAAGAAGCATGAAGCAGAAAACAATCGAGTGTTGAGCATTTCATAATACTTGGTTGCGTTGCATGTACGCACATTCTAGATCAAAAGAGGACTAAAATTGAAGACAAAGCTGAAAAATGTGTTTTTCTTGGTGTTAATGAACAATCAAAAGCGTACAAATTGTACAATCCTATCACCAAGAAAATTGTCATTAGCCATGAAGTGTTTTTTTTGATGAAGAACAATTTTGGTTTGGTGATGAAACCAATAACCAAGGTCAAATCCTTGCAGATTTTGATGGTGAAAATGGAGAATAAGAGCAATAACCATTGGAAAATGCACAACCTTTAAAAAATGTGCAACAATCAGTAGACACTCAACGATCTACATCCTCTGTCACAGGAGATGATCGACCTCAACGAATTCAAAGGCGACCTATATGGATGGATGATTATGAGGTACAAGGATTTGATCAAAGCGAAGATATCCTCACTCATTTTTATCTATTTTCAGACAGTGATCCTACGGTCTTTGATGATGTTGTCAAAGACTCAAAATGGCGGAAGACCATGACTGATAAAATCATTTCTATTGAAAGAAACAACACATGAGAATTGACATATCTTCCACATGGACAAAAACCATTGGTGTGATGTGGGTGTATAAGACAAAGTTGAAAGAGAATGACGAGGTTGACAAGTACAAAGCACGCTTAGTTGCTAAAGGCTATAAGCAATAGTTTGGCATCAACTAGAAAAATGTTTTTGCTTATGTTGCTCGGCATGATACAATCAGGTTGGTGATTTCTCTTGCTGCCCAAAATTCATGGACTATCTTCAAATTGGATGTGAAACCGGCGTTTCTACATGGTGATTTGAAAGAACAATTGTTTGTTGATCAACCTCGTAGACATGTGAAACATGAAAATTAGAACAAGGTGTATAGATTA